AAACACCCCAATTTTGGTATAATAATAAAAAAGTTGTAGGCTACGAGAAGATTCGTGAAGCCTTTCACGAATAATTTGATGAAAAAGTATCTATACCGCATACCACAGGAATATTAGCAACATCCACTTAAACGCTCTTATAAAGTTACACTATTTTTAAAAAATTGAATGTTTCTTTTTACTGGTTATTAGCTTTCTTTTAAATATTATTTTAGATTTGGTGCCAGATCTAAAGGTTATGAATGTAGGGTAGTCCTGTACATGTGTGACTGTGTTTAGAGGTTGGAGCATCAAGTCCTCTTGGTGAATAGGCACGTGGAAATTCAGGATGCCCAATCCTTAATCGGCAGTGGACAGTCTCTTCTTTCCTGGAGGATCGGTAAGAGGTTCCCCATTTGGAATAGTGGGTTTTTTATTTACTTTAATTTAGATTATTTAGAAAAAAATAAAATAAATAAAGTAAAAGATAAAAAAAAATCGATAAATATTGAGAACACGCTCCAATCAATTGAGATCGAGCCATGCTCAAGCACAGTTGATTTAGAGGGTAGTTTGAAGAAAGAGGCAAGGATTGATGCTGTAGTCACTGAGTCTAATACACCAGGCGACTTGGAATATAGTAATAGGCAGGTAACCATTAATGACAATCCACCTATTAATAAATATACTGACGAGAAAACACCTATTGATAAACATACTGACGAGAAAACACCTACTAATAAATATACTGACAAGGAAACATTGATAGGTACATCTGACACTGAGAAATATATGCAGGATGATGACCAGAAACAAAAATGGAATAACATCACTATTACAACCCTATGCAAATCCAAACCATACTTATCACAGAAGCAAGGGATCAACAAAAACCAACAACGTTCACAAACTAGAGATACAGTATCATTACCTGTGAAAAAGTGCAAAGCCGGCTCAAATATTAAAACAAAGAAGACCAGAAATCCCACTGAAACCATACTTGGACCCGTGCGAATCATGATCTTAAACAAAAAAAAGCACTTACCCTCTCACTTACGAAAAAATATGCCTATTACTCGACATGACTCAGGGAGAAAATGAATCAAACGTTACTGAGATCATGTCTCAGTTTACAAACAATGTAAACGGTCTGAAAACAATGCTCTCAGATATCAGAGACACAGTATCACATAGAGGGCTAAAAATCAGAACCTCAAAACTAATAAAGATTTTGAATGAGCACTCCTTGAACACTACCGAGCATTTAAAAATAACACATGGTGATAATAATAATCTGGGAAATAAGAAACACTTTGCCAATCAAAATGAAAACAATCATTCAATGGAATTGTAACAGATTTTTCCGACATTTAGAGCACCTAAAAATGACAATAAGCGAAGAGATCCCTATTCTAGTTTGTCTCCAAGAAACACACTTACAAGAAACTCAAACAGTGAGATACAAAGATTACGATATATACCGAAAAGCAAAAGATCGTCATGGGAAGACTTCGTATCTTCATTAAATCAAAGCATTTCAATGAAAGAGCTCTGGAATAAAGTGAAAAGCATTAAGGGGATCTCCAAAACCAAGAAATTGCCTGGTATAAAGACTGGACAAGACATTATAACTGACCCTGACGAAATCGTTAACGAAAGTGATAAAACTCTGCAACAGAGTGTAATGTAAAGGCTTTGCCAATGACCCTACAGGATAGAGGCAACAAAATACCAAATAAATAAATAAATAAAAAAAATAATATATAATATAAAATAAATGAAAAAGATTTACAGGAAAAACAATTCTTTTAGAGAAGATTTTTCTCTTGACAGATGATAACATTTAGTTGTATATGCGTTATAATTTACAAATATAATATATTGTGATTGTTTAAGTCTTTACCTCAGATCATCCACAGTAACTAGTACTGTCCAAACGCGATACCAAGACGAGTATTTGTCTTCCACACGCAGTCTTGGTCTTGGTATTAGTCTTTCGCCAGAGTCTCCAACTTTCTTTCAGTTACCTATTAGCCTATGGAGGTATTGCTATAATTTTTCAGATTGGGAAAAATAAACTAAGCTCGAATGAAAAATTGGAAGAGTTAAATGCAAAAGTATATTGGTTATACGATTTTTTTAAATACCCTAACTAAAAGTATTAGATGTGAAGTATTAGAAACTATTTTGCCTTAATTTTCATTTTAAAAAAAATTATTTTGATTTTTATTTGACCGGTCTTGGTCTTGGTCTTGCAACTGTCAGGCGGTCTTGGTCTTGGTCTTGCAAAACACTATTGAGGGAAAGCTAACGTTAACAAACATAGACAAATATATATGAAAAAAATGCTACTAAAAAAATATTATCAACTTCCATTCTATTTATGCTAAAGGTAACATTTTGAAGTCTGCAACAGATATAAGCAGTCTGGTACGATGAAAAATAGCAGAGAGCAATAAAATATGAAATTATAATAATAAATCATAAAGAAACAATTGGTTGTTATCCTGTAAAACATTCAATTTTTACATACGGTCTTTTGCACTAACTCACTACTGTTAGTGCAAAAGATCGTATTAATATTTAATATGCACTGACATTTTTTTAAAATCACGAATAATTAAGTATGAAATCTGCAAATGCAGAACTCTTTCTCATTTTAGTATTAAATGTACAAAACTCGTTAATATCAAATCCGTATTTGTTGAGAGATTACTGAATTTCCGAAAACAGCTTCTCCCAGAGATTTTATTCTCATAGAAAAAATGTTAGAATTAGTGATATAGATATTTTTTAGCCAATGAAAACGGTGAGGAAGCTATACTGACCTTGCTTGGCATTGATCGGTAAGAAATTCACCATTTGAGATGTGTTAGCCTGACTTGGCTGTACACAATGCTAGAGGGAGCATGTTAAACCATTTACAAAAATAAGGAAAATAGTAACAATAAAAGAAAAATTATAGAGTCAATATATATTACTAAAAATTTAAAGAATTCCGTTGACAACCATACAGATGTGGACAATATAAATACTTTTTAGGCAAATGTTATAAACAATATCCGCATATAATACAATAATTAATTGAAAAGCAATACAAAAATCATAAATTAGATAAAATAATCCACTAATGCAAAACAATAGAAGGAAAACCCCTCTCCCTTTGACTATCCCCACCTGGACGATTTAATTCCCTCTAGAAATGATGTAGGCGAAACCCCTATAGAGCAGGATAATCTTAAAGCCCTGGAACCAGGGCCCGAAAATCGACCTGATCGCAGGCGAAGGTTTGAATGTAAATTACGAAGTGTATGTTATTCTGAGTAAAAAGAACTTTGCCGCTCCAGAGCCGCTGCTTTCAAAAATGGCGGCTGATTTAAAGAATATTAGGCCAGTAATTTGATGATCGAAACGAGAAATCCATTGAGAAAAATGTGAGAAAAGTTTTTATTTTTTTAACTTGTATAAATGGATTTACTATATAATAAATTACTAACGCAGATCACCAAGTGAAAACGATTTACAGCCAAAAATTAAGCCAGATTTTTTCGAAAAGTTTTCGTTTTTTCGCCTACAACTCCTAAACTATGAAACAAAGCGAAAAATGTACTCTTTAATAAATTAAAGAACATTAAATTGTGCGTCGAACGAGTAATAAACCATATAATTTGGATAGGAGGTAAGGTATTAAACCGCGATCAACTAACGCTGATGTTTACCAAATTTGTCAAAAACTGAGACAAATTACTATAAATGGCCCTGTAACTTGGAAATGAGTTACTTTAGAGGGAAAACCCATAAAATCAGTAGGTTTTTTATTTCCTTAATTTAGGTTATTTAGAAAAAATAAATAAATTAAAAGAAAAGAAATTAATAAATAAAGCAATATAAATAAATTAATAAATAAAAAATCTAATAAAAGTAAAATTTAAAAAAAAAACTTCTTTTAGAGATCATTTTCTCTTAACCTAACATTTAGTTGTTGCATACTCATTATAATTTAAAAATGAGTAACAGTAACTAGTGTTGCCCAAACGCGATACCTAGATGAGTCTTTGTCTTCCGCACGCAGTCTTGGTCTTGGTATTGGTCTTTCGCCAGAATCTCACAACTGTCTTGCAGTTACCTATTAGCCTATCACTATAGAGATAATACTGTAGTTTTTCAGACAGGAGAAACCTAACTAAGGCCGAATGAAAAATTGGAAAAGTTAAATGCAAAAGTATATTGGTTATTATAATTGGTAATTGGTTGACTGTCGTGGATAATGAAGAGAAGAATAATTGGGGTGTTCAGTCAAAAAGGAAGGCAAAAATTAATTATAATATTTATATTTTACATATGCCGACGTTTCGACCTGAAGTTCAGGCCTTCGTCAGGGCTTTCTCCTTAAGTGTCGAAGGGAGAATCATTCTCCCTTCGAAACTTAAGGAGAAAGCCCTGATGAAGGCCTGAACTTCAGGTCGAAACGTCGGCATATGTAAAATATAAATATTATAATTAATTTTTGCCTTCCTTTTTGACTGAATACCCCAACTATTCTTTTCTTCTCTTCATTATATTGGTTATTCTTTACATACAGTAACTAAAATTGTCAAGTAACTATTATGTCTTAATTAAAAAAAAAAATCTTTTTTTTCTTTTATTCGACCAGTCTTGGTATTAGTCTTGCAACAGTCAGGCGGTCTTGGTCTCGAAAGGTTCCTTCTCCTCCCCCTGGATCCGTCCGTATACGTGACTGGTGTGTATAGAGATATATGGTTAGGGAGGGGGATGTTTATACGCTATAGTGATCGAATAGGGCAATGTTATAACTATGTTTAAGCACTCCTTCAAGCACCAATCAATCGAATCCTCTAAGGACCAAGGATAGTAAACAAAGCCAAGAGGTGCATCGACTATTGCTCCACACCTGGGCGGTTTCCTCAGCAGGTAATGCGGGTGTTAGGAAACTGGTGTTCACCTCTGCTGAGCAGGCGAACCTACTAAAGGGGCAGCGCACGGCTCTGTGCGCGCTAGTCATGCGGCGGTCTGCGTTCGTGCTGTTGGCGATCTTCGCGATCTGTCAGGCCCAAGGGGGCAGAAGGGAGCCGCAAGGAGGCAGAAGGGAGCCGCAAGGGAACAGAAGGGAGCCGCAAGCGGGCAATAGGAAGCCAAAAGGGGACGTGCCGCCTCCCCCCAGGCACCACGGCTATCACAAGATGATGACCCTCGCCATGAACAACATGATGGATGGTGTCCGTGAGTACAGTCTCAACTATATATATATATGTATACATACATATTGGTGGGCGACATAGTGGTACAAGGTTGTTATATAAAGGGTATCAGGAAATTTTTATAGGAGTGATAGTAGATCTCCAGAGCTACTAAAAAGTTTCAAAATCAAACGTTATTTTCCAAACCAGAACAGCGCTAAAGATCTAAAAATCGGTCTTAAATCATAAGTGTTATAAAAGCTCAATTTTAATAATAATTAAATTAAATTTAGTAATTTTTTAAAAGTTATCTTAATAATTAATACCCAACATGTAGGTATATATTTCTTTGGAATTCATTATTTAAAAAAAAAAAAAAATACATTGGAATCTATTAGTAAGGATCTCTCTCTTTAAGGGACATCTCTATTTACAGGACAAATTTAAATGTACTGGAGTATACAAAGGCAAACCTCTGTTTGAGGAGCACTCGAAATAGGGAATGCAGGCGATGAATGTTACATGAAAATGGTTTTTAAGACCTCTCGATAATGGACAAACTATAAGGTTTATTTTTTCTCTTTTCTAAGAATACATCTGTCTAACACTATTTAAACCAAGTCGTTTCTTCACTTTCCATCTATTCTAATCAAAAGTAGGATTTTTTACTTCAAGCATTAGATCATAATAATTGTGATAACTTTAGAATTGATGGATATGAGTCTACAGATGATCAGTGAATTGGGCTAGAGTAAAATTCATGAAATTATAGAATTACAGTAAATAATCAAACGTTACTTCCAAGATAAGAACAGCGCTAAAGATCTAAAATCGGTCACAAATCATTAGAAAAAAAAATAGTGTTATAAAAGCTCAATTTTAATAATAATTAAATTAAATTTAGTCATTTTTTTAAAAGTTATCTTAATATTTTATACCCAACATGTAGAGGTATATATTCCTTTGAATTCATTATTAAGTTTAAAAAAAAATGTTCAAAAATACAATTGTGTTTATTTAAAATGAAATTGTTTTCAAAAGAATTGGTGTAAATTCAAACAATTTGTTTTGTTAATGCATATTCAATTGTATATACAATTGTCCATTATCGAGAGGTCTTAAAAACCATTTTCATGTAACATTCATCGTCTGCATTCCCTATATCGAGTGCTCTTCAAACAGAGGTTTAAGGAAAGTACTGCCTTTGTATACTCCAATGTCCTGTAAATAGAGATGTCCTTAAAAGAGAGAGGTCCTTACCAATAGATTCCAATGTATTTTCTTTTACTGTATCAGAGTTAAATTCAAACCTTTTTTTAAATTAAATTCTTATCAATATTTTGTTGCTGCCAATTAGTGACGAGGTTCGATTCTTATCTTGATATTTTTCAAAATCTAATGTTAAGTTAATCTTATAACTATATTCATTAAAATTAGATATTTCTATAGTGGCTTTAATTTATTTTTATATTCACAATAATTCTTACTGCAGTATTTTTCAAAAGACAATTTTTATTTTAAAACGGTACATTTTCAGGAAACAGTTAAATAATAATTGTAAGAAGTTGAGCAAACATTATTTAAAAATGAGTTAGGGATGGTTTCGAATGATATTAATGCTATTTTGAACGGGAATGTACTCTCTATTGGTTCGAGATATCTTCAATCAAAAAATAAAGTTGAAAATAAAATGTTACCGTTTTTTATTTTTAAAAATATAATAATAATAACTAAAATAAAGTATTTGATAAATCTATTGACGTGATAACAATATATTAGCGTGGATAAAATGTAGAATAAAATTAGGTTTATGACAAGACAAAAATATTTATTTGATTTTTCTACGATTTAATTTCTTTTTTTTCTCTGAAGTTATTAACATATTTTATGTTGGGTTAGTAGGATTCAGTTAAAGTCCATCAAATAATTTCTTTTAAAATATTTTTAAAAAATCTAATTTTATTTTTTAAAACTTTAAAAACTTTTTTGGATTAATTCTTGAAATATACCTGAATTTTCGATTCTTATAAAGAACCGATTTCATTCTTTTTATCTTAGAATTTTGTAGTGAAAATTATTTTTTTAGTAAATATTCACTTTTACTAAATGATGAACTTTAAATAAATTAAGTTTTCCCCTTTAGTAAGGAAGTAGGTTTAAAACAAAACATTAAATACCTATCATACAGTTTAATTATCTAACATACATCTTCATTCAGTAATACAAATCTTATAGTCTTTCAATTAAAATAAAAATTCTCCATTGCTTCTGCATAAGCTATTGTTCATTACTAGATATTCTTTTCCTGGTATGAATAATTGGTAATCATTAAACTATACTTCCTTATAGATGGCTGAAAATTATACGAATATAAGCATTTTAAAATTACGTACCGGGTTGTTATGTAATATTTAAGGGTGATTGGTTTATTTAATAGAAATGCGAGGTGGTATATGAAGGGACCTAGACTGAGATCTGTTACTTTTAATAGAATCATCTTTTATTTTTGGCTAATTCTAAGTATTATAATGATTTTACGTATTTCGTTTGATCCTTTTTTGTTTCGCCAAATCTGATGGTAACGTTTTTCATTCAATTCAGATTGATATACAAAAATAATATCTATCAGTCTGTAAGTTCTGGTAGTGCAAGTTCCCAAACTCAACGTTTATTCCATCGAAGAGATACATGTTTATTTGTATTAACTGAATACCCATTTTTTCACATTTCCTCATTTAACCTTTTAGCATTCGTCTGTGTATATTTTAAATAGAGTAGGGTATATATATTATCAATGTAAAAGGCATTATTTGTTTTCGAATAATAGTTGTACATTCGATTATAATGGGAATATTTTTATCTGGATCCGGTTATTTCAGTGAATTTCTTTAATTAAGCTCAGAATTCCTTTATCGATCCAGTCTTAATTAATAGTATGGGAAGGGGTGGCCAGCTGATTACCGAAGTTTGAGATATAAAAATGATTACGAGTTCAAATCCTGGTGTCCGATGGGACTTTTAACTCGGCATAATTCCCCGACCAGGGAAAAACCCCGTGTAGCCTAAAGGCAAGGAATGGAAGACAACAAAAAAAAGAAAGAGAAAAAATAAATAATTCCCATAGCAGTTTACGTGGTGCGCTATCATCTGTTTTTGTATGTCTATAAAGATTAAGTCCATCCTTCATGCTTTATCTGCTTTTTGAAGTGAATTAGATAGAGCCGTCAGATTTCCGAAGTGTTAACGCTCGGGTAAAGTCGGCTGGAGTCGACTAATTGAATTGTTTTTGCATATGAATTAAAATATCTCAAAAACTAAAAATCAGATCCTGCATATTGTAAGCAAGGGAATTATTCAGCATTTTATCCTCTCTGTAAATGGCTGTTATTCAAAATTGTGTCTTAACGGGAAAGCCGAAAAGGAAAATATACTGTCGAAAACCACTTTATAACGAGTTTTATAAAAGATATGGATTAAAATATCTCAGAAATTAAAAATCGAACCTGCATAGTGTAAGCGAAAAAAATGTTCAGCATTTCATCTTCTTTATTATGAGCTATTATTTATAATTTATATTTCATATTATTAATCTCGCCATGTTGATTTTTCACTTCTATCGTGTGGTCTAAAGCACACACCTTTGTTATTTTTTCTGCAATGTGCCTTTTAGATGTCGGTTGCCTTTTTGTAATCACAGTTTTAGAACTTCCATCATGTCTTCATCCGTTGCTTTGTCAGCATTATTGTAAACACTATCTAAAATAATAAAATCCACAAATTAGTGATACTGTTGAGGATGATGAAGAGTGTAAGTAAAGCATTACTTATAATATAATTCTATTTGCAATTATAAAAAAATTCAATTTGTTATGGCCAATTAATGCAAAAAATATTAAAAATTAATCTCATATCGTGAAGGAGTTGTGATAACTTCTTTTATGTTACATATTTTCAAACTTATTCAATCCCTACTCATAGAAAATATCCATTTCTTTTCTTTCCATTCGAATGTTACAGATATCATTTCAATTTTTATATGAAATCTGAGCTAAGCTTGTGAATTTATATTATGACTTAAGACGATAGGGTTTAATGGATTGCTATATTAAATGATTGGATGACTAGTAAAATAAGATTGCTGTATTTTGTGTGTACTATTGTATTACAATGTAATACAATATTACATGTGAATTCTCTCTGTGGAGCTCCGTGATAGACTGAAAAGACTAATGAACAGCTGCGTAAGATTTGTGATAGGGACCCCAAGATACTCCCATGTTTCTCACCACTAAGCTGAATTAAAGCGGCTTTTCCCCTCCTTCCGAAGACAATATTTCTTAGGTACGTTCCTCTACCAAATCATCAACAGCCATCGTCCTTTTTACGCCTACAACATTCTCCAGTTCAAATCCTCAGTCCATTCCCTGTCCACAAGATCTCGACCTTCTAACCTTTACATGCCTTCTCACAGATCTTCCTCATTCCAAAATTCCTTTATTGTTCGCTCTGTCAATTTCTGGAATTCCCTCCCTATCAAAATTCGACATTCCCCATCCATATCCAAATTCAAAACCCTCCTATTCCAATTCCTATCCCAAGAACAGTCAGATAGTTGCTAACCATTCGAGCTGATTTTAATAGAGAATTTGATACATACAAATTCATTGATTGATTCATTGATACATTTTTAATTTTAATTCTTTATTATTTTCTCAATAGTGTATACGAGTCTATCAGTGCAAATAGCTTTAAGTGCCTTGTCATAGTATTAATTGTTTTGTATATAGTTTCGTTTTTTGTACATAGAATGTTTAGCTTATATTTTTTTTACATTATTTCTTTTTTTCGATTGATTTTATTTTGGTCAGATGTGATCTTTTAATTTTGTTCTATTTTGTTATTCTCAAGGGACTGTGTCCCAGAATAAAATTATTTTTCTATCTATCTATAAATGAATTGAAATTAATAAACAAATGAAATAAATGTGAATTATTTAGGCCGAATCTTTACAATCAGGGTTAGTATGTTAATCTATTTGGTCTG